TGGGCACAGTACTTTAACCGCTTCAACTTCACTCTAAAGTACATACCAGGAGGAAAGAACTTTCTAGCTGATGCGCTATCCCGGTTACCCCAGTACAAAAGTGAACGAGAGCAGGTTAACGAGGCAATTATTCCCAATCCACAAACTGTCACTCAACTTACACCTCGCAGGGTCCCCAATCCGGATGACCCTGGAGTGAAGAAAATAAAACGAGAGCTCCTCACTGACCAATGGTTCAAAGATAATCAAGCGTCCCTAACATGCAGGGATGGCTTGGCTTACAAAGGGGGGAAGTTATATTTGCCAGAAGCGCTCCGTCTAAATGCTCTCAAACACAGCCACAATGTAAAGCAGGCTGGACACTTTGGATATTTGAAAACCCTACACCTCACCCGCCGGCAATTTTGGTGGCCGGGGCTGAAAAAGGACGTGGAAAACTTTGTAAAAAGTTGTACTGTATGTGCTACAATGAAAAGAATCCTGGGGAAAACTCCTGGGTTACTGCAACCCGTGGCAGACCCTTCTCAACCCTGGGAAGAAATAGCTATGGACCTTATAGTGGAAAGTATAAGTAGGGGAAATTGCAGTACTTGGTACAATGGAAGGGAGACCCATTGTCTGAAGCCACATGGGTGAAATCTAGTGAAGTGAACGCTGACAGATTGATCAAAAGGTTTCATGTGAAACACCCCAACAAACCGAAAGATAACCCTTAACATATGCTTTTGTTTACTTTACAGGTTCTGTCCTTCTTGTAAGGGGGGCCGGATGTCAATGCTGCAAATACTGTATATTCTTGCTTTGACAATATGCAAAACTCTTTGGCATTTATTGGGTTAATACTTAGCTTAGACTGGGCAGGGGAAAAAGCCCGGGAAAGAAAGAGGAAGTAAACTTTTGACCTTCTCACTAATTGGATAATGTGACCTGTGACTGCATGAGAAGGGAGGGGTTGAGCAAGGAAAGCTTGATGCCAGCGACCGGAAGTTCAGATTCTGGCATCAACTAGTCCAATGGTGACCGGCATAAATTTGTAGCTCTGCAAATAAAGACTTTAGGAAACATGCCTGAAAGTTCTTTGAAGTGCTTCTTTAGTCGGAACATGTGACAATGTAACTCTCTTCCTCCCCTTGTCTCAGGCTTAACAGCATATCCACCTCATTTCATCTGCAGATGCCCTTTTGCTTACCAATTCTGTTTCTTGTATGACAGAAGGTCATAGAAGGAGATATTCATTCCCAGATAGGTTGACAATGCAAATATGTAATGTATGTGTAGTCCTTACATGTTGACTAACCAACAGTGCTCAGTTAATCAGCAGATATTACAATACAGCAAAGGTGAAGCAGACTAGGTGACTCACTGGGATACAGGCAAAAAAAATGGTTTGTAGAGGAATGCTCACGTAGTCGAGAAAGTGACAGACATGAATCAACCCTGACATTTCTCATTACAAAGTTCCAAAAGGCTGAAAGAACCTGGCATTCTAGACTTGTTATTACTAGAGCAGACAAAACTGGTATTGGATGGACCAATGTTTAGCCCAGAATAATTTTACAATGGATATTTTTGCTTTTCCTGGCCTTCTTTTGTGACCTAAAATAATTCTCAGCTCAGAACAATACATACATCTTTCCACTAACCCAGGTGTGGGTTCATTTGTAGGGAAACTAGAATGTAAGAATTATAAAAGAGGAAATGCTGAGATGTAAAATATCTTACAAGAGAGCTCTGAAGCCATTCTATTATCATGGCTCTCCATTCAGAAACATACAAAACACATACAGTACAGTGTATATAAACTTTCCAGTAACTCTTATCTCAGTGTTACCTTTCTTCCCAATTATTTGGCTAATACTAGTTTGCAACATACAAGTATAATCTAATATCACATGGTGGATTAGAATGGTGGTAAGGAAGAATTTACATCATCAAAGCCTTTTTTGAGGGTTGACTTCTACATTACAGATCAAAAAAATGGTAATGATATATTGTGTACAACAGAATTCCAAGATGCAACTGTTAAGGTGTAATTGTCCATTTTTCCTCAAAAGTATTGTACTGAATATAACGAGACTGATTCCCAACAAAGCATTGCTAAGACTGCAGGCTTTATTCCATACCAAAGAAAGCACTTTTTCATCTATTAAATTAGTCCTCTAATGTGGCTCCAAGGAGTAGCAAAAGTCTTCTCCTCTATTCAGTGTCCTCTCTCTTTAAGCAAACAGCTTGTTAATCCAACAGGAAATAACATTTGCCAGGATTGGCAGCTGAGGATTTATACTTAATTCCCCCTTTCTCCCCTTCCTCTAACTTCTTCATTTTTTAAAATGTTATTGTCCACTTTAACACAGTTGTCAAGAGGAAAAGCAAAGTTTTGCTTCCTTTTAAAGTCACTACTTTTCCATATATTTTGACATGCATTTTCAAGTATAAGAACAGATGCTTTTTTCAGAAGATTGCAATCTGGGGAGGCAGAAGGCCATAAACACATTTTCATTTCAGAGTATTTAATTCCTGACATTTCTTTAATTCCAAATACTCTATACACACATAGTTGGCTTCTCCTCTCATTTCTGTCTGAATTTCAATGAAACAGCAACAATATTAAATCCCTTATAAAAGTGGTGTTGTCCTTACAACAGTAACTTTGGAATAAAAAAACAGATCTCATAATATAATTAATAATAATTAATTATAATCCTTCAGTTACCCCAAGGCCAGAAAATGGTCCATCTCAACAATCTTGAAACAGTGTGTTCTGATACAAGTGTTTGCTGTAGTCAACAAATGCATTTAAAAAGACAGAACATCTAAGAGCTCTAAATACCTACATCTGCAGGAAGTCAAGGGCTAATACTGTTTACTGTTCTGGCATTGCCTTCTTTAATCAGTTTTGGCAGTAAATAGGTGATTTAGCCATTTGTCTAGACTGACTGTGACTGGAGTGGTCTTGGGCTTTTAATTTTAAGAATCAGCAAACAAAAGTAAATAGAAAGGGACTTTTTCAAGGTGATGCTGGTGATAACAGCAGCCCCAACTCATGTTTCACTAGTTGCTTGTTATACAATTTCATCCAGTTATGTGTTTCCCTACCTCTGGGTCAGTTCAAAGGCTGTTACTGGCAAGAAAAATGTGCAATGTGATGAGATCCCAACTTGGGTAAAAGAGTAAAGAGGGGAGATCCATAGAGCTATTATTTTGGGTGACAAAGTTATGTTAAATGTAAAAACTCCCTTGTTAGCAGAAAGTTTTGATAGTGGCAGGTCTGGAATGTAAGAGGTCATTGATGGAGTGCTATGAAAATTAAATGTAGCAAAAGGTATTATCAATTCTGTGCAAAGAGGAAAATGAAGCAAACTGCTTATCAATTATATAACACAACAGATAAAGATTTTTCTTTTGGAGCTTCTGTGCAGACTATGATAAAATTTTCATTGTCTCCCTTGCCTTTTTGTTCATGTACTGTAGATTGGATTAGATTTATAGTGATATTTACTGACCAGAGAAAATCAGTAGATTACTAATAAAACAAAACTTAGTATGTAGACCATTTTGAGTTCAGTCCTTGACATCTTTTTTTCCTTTTTGTATATTTTGATTAAATAGCATAACTGGGAAACTTCTGAATCTTTTGAGAGCCACTAAATGACTATTATATGCAAATTAGTATAGATTTATATATACAAGATTCTGTTTTCCTATCTATATTATTATATGTGGCTTTGAACAAATGAATTACTGTACACTAAAAATACCTTAAAACTGTGTATATATGCATACAGCATAGTAATAATGTGTCCTTAGAATATATAAATATTGCATGTTTTAAGGAATTATCTATATTACATAAAATCAAGTGGAAGACAAGATATTGTCTTCTATTGTGCCTTTATTGCATTCTGTCTTCCTTGCAATTTTTGTCCAAAACCCAGCTGACAGTATTTTAGTCTGAAAGGGTTGCACATTCCCCCTATAGAAGCAAGTCTGTAACTCAAAACTACTGCTCAACTGTGGTCAGGCAGTCTTTACTTAGCTCTATTAGTAGCTGGAGAATATTTATTTATTTACTTATTCATTTGATTTATTCTAGCCACTCACTCCAAAAAACTCTTGGCAATGGTAAATCATGTCATTCTCTATGTTAGAGTTTAAATTATTATAACATAATATACATGGCCCGATGGTTGATGGATCAGAATTGTTACAGCAATACATCAGATTTGCAGGTTTTGTACTAGTTACCAATAGGTTTTTAGTTATAATTCAACATACTGATTTTATTCTTTAAAGCTTAAATGATTTAGTTCTTATGTATCTTCAGGACCATCTTCTGTAAATAGACTTCTCCTGTTCCTTACGCTCATTCATGAAAAGATGCTCTGCTTTTGAGAAGGTGGTAGGGGTCCTTAGAGGTAAGTGCTGCTCCGTCACCTTGATGTTCTTAGAAAGGTTGTAAAAATGGTGGTGTTACAGAGAGCCTTTTATTTTGGACTGCCAGAATGGGATCAGAACAATACATTTCAATATTATGACAGTTTAATTGATATTATTTTAACTTTGTTTTGGTCACTGTGTCTTTTGTTTTTATATCACAAATCATTCTCAAATATGGCAATATAGTAATATAATTAATTTATAAGTGCTTTACAAGGGATTTATTACCCTGAAGCCTTAGATATGAAGTTCAAAGAGGAACAACTCTTTCTTCTTGCCTTTATCTTCCGAGCTCTTATAGCAGATGTCACTACCACCAATTCCCAGATGCCCAAAGATAAAGGCCAGTCATTCTAACTATTTGTGACTGTAACCTAGTTGCAATGATCTACTAAAGCCTAAAAAATCTGTTTCTTTACTGGGAACATGGGACTGGGGAAAAAATAAATAAACCAAACCCAATGGGGGAAAAAAATCTGTCAAAATATCTAGCAGATTGCAACATATGTCCGGTGAGGTTTACAAAACCTTGATTAGTCTTTGAAAATCATTGATCTACCAACCTGTATGAAGTGATTCTTTTTAGGCTGGTTACAGGAACTTCATAGCCACATTCTTCTAAAATTTCCTTGCAAGCAATTTCTTCCAAAGAGAGCTCTGGCTTGTCTACAATACCAGCACAGAGTTCATATGTTATTCCTTTTGAAGCAGGCAAAAAATCAGACAGAGGACACCAACTCTCTTCAGTTTTATTCCCAAAGTACTGAGGACATTGTTGTTCCATTTCGCACATATAGACAGCTGGAAAAAAAATGCAAAAAGTAAAATCAATCACTTGTCACTTTTTTGAGTTTACATGGTCAGGTTGCATTTCTCTGAAAAGAGAAACAGGATGTCTCAAGTAGATCACATCTCATCGTTCCATGCATTAAAAAAATGGAAGAGCATTAAAATTCTCATCATGGGAGTGGTAGTTTCAGTACTACTTTGAAATGGCCATTTTCCTCAAAAAGCTGCCAGTAATATAGATATCGTGAGCTCAATTTCATGGCTTTCTTTATTACCCTTAAAACAAATATAGGAAGAGCAATTCTTTTAATTAAATAATTAGGCTTTATTCAGATTATGTGGCTTTGCCTCATTTCCTTCAAATCAGGGAGAAGATAGAAAATGGAAAATATGATTATTATGTTAATAATATTAACTAAAACATTTCTTGCCTCTCTTTTCTGGATTGAATTGCCACAACAGACTTGAAGGACAGAATTAAAACAAATCTGCTTTAATAACAATTAACCTCTTGTATATATATATTCAAGCTGTAAAAGTCTGAAGGAATCTGACTCATTTAATGAGGTGTACACTGGAATATCTAATATTCTGAGTATTTTGCTAGTTGAATAGAAATAATTAATTGCATTGAGCAGAGCAGAAGACATACTTGAATGGCTTAGAGTTTGATTTTTTCTTCTTCCAGAATTATTGTTATTTCAGGGACAATTTCTGTTTGTTAGCTAACATGCTTACAGTATTTCCCAGGAATCACTGATTCTTTTTGGGACACTGATGTGTACCATGTGCACAGTGTTGACTCTTCCGGCCGGCCAAATCAGTTGCTGTATCACTAGAGTTATAATATATATATAGTTGTTTGAAAAGCTTCTTCTGAGTGTATACTAGCTCTTTGCAGAGATTGCCAAGTAGAATTTGCAATAGAGTTTTTTCATTAATCTAGAAACAATTGTTATGATACAATGCACATAAAGGAAACATTAAGAGAAATATTTTTCCACCAAAGAAAATTAAAAAGAGCAAGGTTTTTATCTATCTGATTCAATATATACTATTGGGTTAACTACTGTTCTATGGAGCCTTGGTTATGCAGAGTGCGGCCTTTATGAAATGGGATTATTTGTACTGCAGTTTGACATTAAAACTGAGAAAATAATTTTAATTTTCATGTATGTAAAAAGGTAAAATTTCCCCAAATTCTTAATTCTCGGTGACTACATAGACACATGCATGCAATTTTCTATAAAAATACAGAAGTGATTTACTACTGTCTTTTTCCCAGTCTATCCTATAGCCTTCTCCCCCTCCCCGTTTTCCTAGCTTGTGAACACAGTAAGGCTGGATCATACTAAGTAATAAAGAAAGATTACCCTTCTAATTGTCTAAGATTGACTAGAACTGTTTAAAGTACATGAAAAAGTTGGCATCCAAACATGGGGGGAAAGCACTGGCAATAGAAATTCTTGGGGCATTTCTTATCATGGCCCCTGGCTAATGGTGAGCTGGTACATCAGTACATAAAAGTCTGTTTCTCTCATACAACTCTGATTACCAATTGAAAGAAACAAATGAGACTTATTTCTAGATTTCTCACCAGTAGAAGTTAGATCAGTGGGTGCTGGATAGATGAGATATTTTTATCCCTTTTAATGGAAGTAGGTTTGAAACCACTGTAAATCCTACTTTTCTGAAGTTTCATGTTTTTTTAAATCAATTCATTTTGCATTGTCATTTTGTTTACCTCTTCTGCCACTACATAAGTTATTTTTTTATTAAACTTATAGATATTTATAGATATTAGGAAGGATGGTAAGGTAACCATTCTTCTATTGTCAGAAAAAGAGTACAAGATAGGGCATGTGTACCTACTCATTTGTATATATAACTATTGAATTATAAATAATTGCTCCAATAGTAATGGAGCAATTATAATGGAGAAGACTGTGATCAGGAGTCTCACAAATAGACAGGTGTTCACGCTTGATGAGAAATTTAGTCTGCGGTTCACCTGTTTTAGAAATCTTTAAACTAGGTTTGCACTGGACAATCCTTCAGATAGATTTCTGTAACAACAACTGGCTATCCATAAAATGCCGGGTTAGTGAGTTATAGCCCGGGTTAGTGAGTTATAGCCCATTGTCATGACTCTGTCTCCTTTGCCTTAGAGAAATAGCAGGAGATACAAGTGATAGATTTTCTCTTTAGCGGAAAGCATCTTTCACCTTAATCGAGAGGTATAAACTTACAGTGAAATTGAAAGATCTGAGGATGGTAACATCCTATCAGGAAGCTCAGAGTACAGTAATTTACCAGAAGGTCAACTCCAGCTTCCTCTTGCTACAAAACAAATTATTATGCTGCAACTATACAGAGGCCCACCAGCTTTTTACGATTAAATCCATCAGAGCTTTACTTTGCTAGAAAATAAAAGCCAAAGTAAGGAAGAGAATTACCTGGACGGAACTGCTTCACCAGAACAAAGCATTGCCGAGAAATATTGAAGATAAGAATTGACACACTAACAATAGGAAAGAAAAAAAAACACAAAACCACAGATTAATAAAATAATATACCATACTGGAAGTCATGAAATTTAATTGGTTAAGGTTAGATTTCAAAAGGTAAGTCTATGAGTTAACAGGCATCACTTTTAAATGATAGTTGCTAAAGTGAAGAAGCTACATTATTTTTGATTAAAGGGAGATGTCCAAGACCACCTGATTTTGGACAATATCTCCTTCTCCCTTGTGCAATGAAAAATTGCTTTTCTGTATGATTACACATCCAGGGTCTTTAAAAGGTACTGCTCAGTTTAAGCTTGTGCTGAAATAACCTATTCACTTATAGTAGCAATGAAGAGATCTACTCAGTAATTAGAATGATCACAAAGAGTTTTGCAACAAGCAGGATAGACATTTTGGAGTTACCGGGCCGGGGTGTTTTTCAGGTTATTAATTCCTTTATTCTTTCATATGAAAAAATTTTCAGAGCATTTATTCGACAAAATCATTCAATCCCATTCACAGTTGGACACCAACTTTGATACATGTCCAATGGAGATGCCTGGAGTACAGTCTTGCCTGGTTATCTATGAATGGTTTTAACCTGTTGGGGCTGAGGAAGTGGACAGAGTCCTTATGGCTATGAGCTCAGGCACCTGCTCCTTAGATCCATGGTCCTCCTAACTAAGGCTACTTGGGGGGTGTTGTGTGGTTGGGTTTTAGCAGTGGTTTATTTCTCTCTGAGAGAGGGGGGTCTCTCTGCCCCATAAGGATAAATTGGTTGCCCCTTCCTCAAGAAGCTATATCGCTAGATGTGATCATACTGGACAATTTTCATTCAGTATCTAACTTTGCTTTTTTAGGAGAGGGTTAGGGTTAGGGTTATCACATCATTGGATGGCTTTCAACAGGATAATATAAGTTTGAAAACTGAATTTTATATTTTAATCTCTCCAATGCTGCCTACCCGATATAGATAAAAACACCCTAATAATACATAATTGGAAAAGGGGCACAAATGCTACTTCTTTTTCTAAAAATATTATATTAGTGACCAGTGGTCTAAGCAACAGAAGCCAGAGCACAGATGGAACAAAATTATTGGTTCTGGAAATTTTCCACTCATGCATGTTGCCTTGGTACAATAAATTATATTCTTTTGATAAGTCAGATATACGAAGCACAAGAAAACAAAACAAATTTCCCATATTTTTATATGGGAAAAAACATATTTTTGTATTACTTTATAGACAGCTTTATTGCCAACTTCTTGACAAAAACATTTTTAATTGATGTACATGCTAGGTTTCCATGATAGCTTGTTAACTATCTAATATTAATTTTGATTGATAACTTGCCCTATTCCAGTTCTGGAATCTGTACAGATGGCTGAAGGGGTACATTTGAAAATCAGTGTGGAGAGAAAACATTAAAAAATGGAAAATGACATTTAATCATTGATGCACTGGGTATTCTAACACAACTAGTTGCAAAATTTATAACTAGTAACGTATTTAATAGATTTACTGGGACTGTCTATCTACTAAAACCCAAAATTTTGAGGGAGGAATGTTTGAAGGACTGTTTTACTTTCAATGATCTTTGGTGGTTTTCTCTGGAGCTGAGATGGTATTAAATATTATATTGGATGTTTGCTTGGAAAACATTTATCCATTTGATTCTACTATACTGTAGTTTGTTTTATATATCTATATTTCGTAGATTTTCATGGGTACAGGTATGCAGGTCTTGGCGTATTCAGGTCTTTTCCGTGTAAGATTGAGAGTATCTTGGCAATGTTTCGACGAGGTCCCACTCGTCATCTTCAGGCTGGGGTCTTCAGCTTCGTGCTTGTGTGAGCAAAGTGTGATCGGAGCTGCCGTCTCTTTATTGGTGGGGTGTGTGTGGAGTGCTGGCTTAGTTGCTGTAGGGGGTTGTTTGGCTGTGTTGGAGTTATTGTTTGTGAATTGTTCGGCTGTTTCATAACATCCTGAGTAGTTGAGGTGCTGGCTTTGTGCCCATTAGTCTTTTGTGTTGTAACAACCTGGGTAATGGGCTGTGCGGTGACATCCTGAGATCTAGTGTGGTGATATCCTAAGTTCTGTGTTGCAACATCCTGGGTGGTAGGCTGTATTGTAACATTCTGAGCTTTAGCTACCATTTACAATAGACAAGAGATAAGAAGAAATAAATTTAGATCTAAGATCTGTAGAAATCCAGAATCAGAATGAAATGAATTCAGACTTATCTATTTCATTATGGGGAAAGTTTTTTTTTTTTTTTTATCACAGAATGCCAAGAACGGAGTTCCAGCACCTTTTTTGGATGGAACCTTGTAGGGTAGGCAAGGGTGGGTTTTACGACATGTGTGAATTCCGGCACCTTTTTTTTTTTTTTTACAAAAAAAGCACTGTGGGGAAATGAAAATCTGCTCCAAATTATACCTTTTTTTGTTGGTGATCTGAGTTCAACTGAATCAAGTGAATTTAACTAAAGGTTTTTAAAGATATTGGTTCAATGTTATTAATGATTCCACATTATTTCTGCTTTTTACTTACTTTTGAAGATAACCAACATTTCTAGGTTTTGATACTGTAATTTCTTCTTCAAACTATCACAAAAATAAGAATATTTTCAGCTAGGAGGGGTTCTGTTAATATTATGGAAAGAAACATGTTTCCAGAAATTGAGGTGAAAGAAATTCTCATCCAATTATGTCAGTCAAATTAAATAGAAAAACTATTCTTAAAATGAAAAGAATATGCTATATCTTTCTACCATGTAATTATTAAACATTAGTTAATTTTTAAAAACTTAATTAGTAAAAATGGTTAAAAGAAAAAGACAACAACTCAGCATATACAGATAAGGTTGAATTTCTAAGAACTCAAAGGCAGATTTTATGAAGCTAAACTTTCAAAGCTTTGTGTTCTTTTCTTTTAATCAAGTTACTTCTATTCCAACTTTTGTAGACATTTGAGAATTTGTAAAATTCTTCTTTACAAATGAAGAAAAGGAAATTTTCACCTAATTTTTAAAAGCCTTATAAAATTAGAGTTCATATTTCAACAAAGAAACAGAGGGAGACTGGATGATTTCTTGAAAATGAGGTAACATGTGCCAACTCACTGAAGAATGGGTTATTTTTCCCCTTGAGATTTAGTCACTTAAAGACATGTACATAACAGATGGAACAATCAGAACCAAGCTGTCAAAGTTAAAGAACAAGATCAAATTAAACTTGAATGAAAGTGCTTTCATCACAACTGTCTTGTTTCTTTGCCATCTTGAAACAACAGGGAATATTCAAACATTAAAGATTTATAAATGTATTTTTTAACAAAAGAAGTAATTATTTGTTAATTTTTTACTAATAATTAAATCTTTGTGAACATGATTTTTCTTATTCTAGTTGAGAAATATTTATTTAGTTTCAATATTATTTAATAACATTTATTATTAAACAATATTTACTTATCAATGTTAATAGAAATAATGTTAAATTAATATTAAATAGGATAAAAATAATTACTCTTAAAATATTTTTACTTTTTTAGACAAATTGGATGGTTTAAATAGCCCTTTTAGCTTTGATTTGATGAGAACAGATTGCAGACAATTATTTTCCATTACATACACTAAATTTCATTAGACTAGAAGTGTCTAGAATCTAAGATAAATGCAGATGTAAAGATCAGGGAAGACATCTTGAATGAGAAGTTGAATCTCAAAACAGGCATACATACATGAAGTTGAATCTCAAAACAGGCAGACATACTCTGTCTGATTGCTCTGAAAATTATTTTAGTTGTTGACATTTCTTTTAACCATTTGGAATTTTGCAAATATCTCCAGTAACAAATACAATTCAAGGAAACCAGTCACCAGGAATATTCAAGTCCATTTTTTTCCAATGGAAAAATAGCCTTATTTAGTAGAACAAATTGGGCAAGAATGAGTTTTTAGTACATAACATAGAACTTGCAAGCCCTCCCCATCTCTGGGGAGTACAAGTACAAGGTCTGGGGTGGTTCCTTTGATATGTAAGGTATTGTTTCTCAGTTTGTTTGCAGTATCTGTTTTTTGCTTGTTTGTTTGTTATTATGTAGAATCAGCTCAAAGAAAGTTATATTATACCTTATTGGAGATAATGCCAGACTTTAAACAGAAGATTCATAGATGTCCATATGAAGCTATAATGGCTCAAAATAATACTATGCATGCCATGATGACATTGTGTTGTGGTGGAAAGCTTGCCCAATAAATACCAACAAATAGAGAGGATCCCACAAAGAGCTGGTTGCAGAGTCACTGGAATCTTGTATGCAGATGAGTCAAAAGCAAGAGCCACAAAGTTACACTGCTCTCTTGATGTTGATTAAAGACAGTTTGAGCATGATAATGTCCGCCAGAAATTTGTAATCTCTGTTATTTGCATCATGATTCATGTGTTGTTAACCCCTCCCCCCATTGAGTGGGAAGGATTTTTGGAATTTCAAACAACCTTATATACTAAAATTTTCATAATCCTTATTTAAATCAGGATAACCAATTTTGGGGTGCAAGAGGTAGTTATTTTTTAAAAAAAGCTGGAGAAGGGATTCCATCATCGAATTTTTCTTGTTCTCTTTCTTTTTTGTACAGAGAGAAAGACCAAACTTGCTGCAAACCATATTGTACTGGGAATGTATCTGGCAACATAATACACAAAAGACTGTATCTGATCAAGTATTATGTTATCAGAATGCCAAAATAGAACACAAGAGCAGGAAAAGAGTAGGCTTTCCTTGAGAAGTCATGAGACCTATACAAGAATTTAATCTGAAATTGACATCAAAAGCTCCTGAACAATAAGTCTCATGCACAAACATGCCAGAAATGCATACAATTTGTTTTTATTCTTACTCCCTCCCTAGAGAATACAGTCAACAAAACTTTCTTTCAGGTGCAGTGGGATAATGAGAGATCCATGAATCATTGTATGGTGTCCTGGATAGACAAGGGTATCAGAAAAACC